TGACCGATTCTAGATTCAATAGTCTGTTTAGCCCAATTTTAAAATAATAGTAGTTGATATTATTTTTATTTTTATTTTATCTAATTGTATTTTTATTTTTATCAACCAATATAATTATAATAAAATTAAATAATTATTTTGTAAATATATTTATTATTTAGTTAAAAATATTTTAAATATAGAAAACATAATAATTTAAATTTAAATATATTCGGATTTATATATTTAAATTTGTATTTTGTTATATTAAAAAATATAAATATCTATTAACATAAGTAATATATATATATACATATATATATATATATAATTGACCAGTCCATTCAACTAATTCTGATCGGTTCATTGGAAACCAATCCGTTTAAAGAAATTAAAATGTTTAGTTGACCGATTCTCGATTCAACAACAAGTTTGGCCGAGTTTTCAAACCAATAGTAGTTGATATTACGTTTATTTTTTTTATTTTTATTTTTTAAATTTTATTAACCTCTACAATTCTATATTTCTAATAAAATTAAATAATTACTTTTTACATATATTTATTATTTAATAAAAATTAATTTTAAATATAGAAAACATTGTACAATATTTTTATTTTATTTTTTTGTCTCAAAACTAAATTTTTACTATCAAAGATTGTGATATGTTCATGGAATTAAAGTTGCAACAAAAAATAGTAATAAAAATATTTTTTCAACATTTGAGATTAAATTTGCAACAAGACCAATATATCTTATGGGATTATATATGCAATTTTCTCCTTTTTCAAACTAATTACCAACGGCCACATGACTCACACGTGACATATATATCCGTTAATTTTTTACAGTTTAAGACAAATTTCACAACAAAAATAAGCTAAGTACTAAAATTGCACCACGCAAGACTAAAATTGCGAATGTCCCAAGCTAACGGGACCAAATTTACGATTTTCTGTACTTAGCGGATCATTTAATTTGGTCCGTTAGGCCCCACGTCGTTTGAATAACTTGTTGATGATCATTTAATTTGGTCTTGAAGGATCTGAAATTCTTTGATTTCGAATTTCTTGAAATATAAATATTCTACT